AAAGTATATGAATATTGGCAATTCTCTACGATGGGGGGAAAGACATGATTAATATGAAAAGGGAAACGACAGCTTGAAAACCCATTTGATAGTGGTTAATGTTCACATTACATAAAGGCTCCCAGAAATTGAAACGAAAAACATTGACACCACAAATCAAAAAGAGCCAATTCACAAAAGAAAAGCTGCAACCAGAAAGAAAACACTGAAAATGTTCAAACCCTTAGCACTCAAAGAAAGGCAAAGTGAGGCGGGTAAAACTTATATATATTAAGTTCTTTTTTTTTTTTTTAAAGGATAAGGTTGTTAATGAAACTTAGACACAAACTACAGTGCTGATGTCAGAGTAAACTAGTCAGCCTTTCAAAAGCAGTTTGGCAAGATAAATCATGATCTGTAAAATCACGTCCTCTGGCCCAGTAATCCTTTTTCTGAGAACTGATCTTGAGGAAATAATTCAAATGATGGTAACAGGCATAGACTGTACAGACATTCACTGCAACATCATTCATATAATCAAAGAAATAGAAACAAGCTAAATATCCTGACAGTATAGGAATACAGGCTAATTGTGGCTCGTTAATTCCATGAAATGTAGATTTTAAAAATGAATACAAAGACTAGCAACGTGGTAAACATTTATTATGTAACGTTACAGACCACAGACACTTAGGTCTTGGCTCTGATTGCAATGAAAAGGAAACTGTGTATAAACTGTGTATACTGTGGACAAGAACAAATAGGAATGTGGAAACCTAAAAACAGTTTGATCTATTGGAGTATCAGAATTGTGTGCAATACTTCTATTTTTGTTTTAGTCTTATTGTTATAATGTTGTTATGTAATTACAAATTTCAAAATTAATGATAAGTTAACATTGTCCAAAACAGTAGCCTCAAATTGGAATTATTATTTTTTATTTAGAAGAGACTTTAAGAATCATTTGATACTACTCACTGCCCTTTCCCCTATTGTGATAGTTATATGGAGCAGAATCTAAGGTCAGAGGGCTCGTGACTATCATACCTTGGGGGATATTGCAGGTGCCGGAACCAAGAGCTCCCATTCTCTGCTCAGGAACTGTACATATTTCCATTGATTAAGTCTGGAGAGATGCTTTAGAACCTTCATACAGTAAATATATGTAAGAGAACAGAGAAATTGGAAGCAAAGTACATTCCTACATCGATAAAATTGGGGTCTCTTTCTAATACCAAAGAGTAGCTGGTATTATTTCTGATACTTTCTAGTTATCAAAGATATTTTATTAAAATTATAATCCAGTAGTGCTTTGATCTACATAAAGACCCATTGGAGTATTATTTCTCTTTGTTCCCAGCTAAAGCTTCAGTTCTACATTTTTTCACAATGATTACAATTATCCAATAAATGAAGACTTAACGAGGAAAAAACATTTGGTGTAAATATTTCGTTGTGTTTTTCAGTTTTATTTCCCATCTCTTGATCCTTCCCTCAGATTGAAAGACAATTTGAACAGTTTCTCAGTGCCTGTAGACTTCTGCTTTTATTTATTGGCTCTTGTCTGAGTTTGGAAGGCCACTCACAAAGATAATCTTGACAGTGCGAAATTTCCCAATTAGCAAAATGGATTTGCCAAGCAGGGGAAAGATGGTTTTTGTACCCAGGTCCCTACTAGTGTCTGTCAAGAAAGTGGACTTGATGTTAATGCCTATGACAAATGTGTTTTTCAGGGTGGATCATTTGTACACGTTCTTTGTTCAGTGGTCTCCCGATGTCTATGGGAAAGACGCCAAAGAACAAGGCTTTGTGGTGGTGGAAAAGGAAGAACTGAATATGATCGACAACTTCTTCAGTGAGCCGACGACCAAGAGCTGGGAGGTGAGCGTGTGGGATCGGGCTGTCGTGTCCGTAAAGTACAGTGCACAGTCAAAATAGACTCATGTTCAGATTCCAAGTAACTGGCTGGTAAGAAATTAGAGTCCTTGTGCACCTGTGAAATTATGGGGACATAACTTTATTCTTGTGTTTGAAGCTAGTTGTGTGTGTCAGAAGGACACCACCACCACCATGCACGCAGTTCATTCTGGCTACACTAGATGGATCCACCTATATTCTCACTCATAACTCCATGCCTTAGTTCTGAGGTCTGCACATGTTTTTGGTGAAGGGCCGGGTAATGAATATTTTGGCTTTGTAGGCCATAAAATCGCTATCACAACTACTCACTGCCATTGTCGAGCAAAAGCAACTAAAGACAATACATAGACAAATGGGCATGGCTGTGTTTTATTTCATACAGTTATTATACGTCACAAAATATTATTAAATTTTTTTCAGTTACTTAAAAACATGAAACAACCTTCTTAGCTCATGTGCTATTCAAAAACAGATGGTGGGCCGGATTTGGCTGACAGGCTATAATTTGCTAAATCCCAGTTCTCTTCATCCAATCAGGCAAGCATGTATCAAGTACTCCTTTTGGGGAAGGCCCTGGAAATATGATGATGGCTAAGATAGGCTGGATACTTAATAAGCTTGCAGAACTGGGAAATTGGAAGATGAGAAAAGGAAAAATATGTCTGCTCCTCTTTCCTGCCGCTAATCCTGTTCTCCACTCTCATGGATCTCTGGTGTCTCATTTCTTGACTGCTGGCTGTTCTGCTTCTCTCCTGGAGCCCACACAGCATTTCTTCTTTCCCAGCTTAGACAGATTAATGAATTTAGGGACACCCTTACCAGGAGTCATGAGTTCTCAGCCCCACTTCTGTCTGCTGCATCCTTCTAGCCTGCCTGCCATCCTGGATGGACCCACCCTCATACTTTCCCTGCTACCAGGCAGCCAAGCATTGCTGGAGAAAAACCTGTCCAGCAGGGAGAATGGTGGCCTTACAAATACATGATTTCTGAATAATCCTTTTTACATACTTCTAGTCACCTCCATTTCCT